AACCACTGTGCCACCTCGACTCAGGTTTGAAGTCCAGGGAGGGAAAAATAGATTACTAAGATATATATTTGATATTGTAGAAAGTAAATGGGACCAGTGCTTTGAAGGTTTTTGTTGGTTTGTGTGCTTTTAGACCATGATTTGACTGTTTTAGGATCTATACCAGGGGTGTCCCAACTCTAGGCCTGGGGGCCAGATCTGCGGGGTGCTTAGATCCGGCCCATGAGCCCACCCTGGAAACAGCAAAGGACTGGCCCGCAGTGCCTCAGCCAGTGAAAATGGAGCTCGCGAGGGCTCCATTTTCACTGGCAGAGGATTGCAGGAGGCCGTCGCAGCTGAAAACAGAGATCGGGAGCCCATTTTCACTAGTAGAGCACTTGGGCCACCACAGGTGCCCCCGACACGAGTTATGTTGAGCTGGTCAAGCCCCCCTGCCCTCCAAGATCAAACACAACACTGATGCAGCCCTCAATGAAATCGAGTTTGACATCCCTGATCTATACTATGGCTTTCACATATTTCCTGCCTCAAAATGGCAGGAACACATCTTGTCAGTTTTCAGCAGTCTTTGTCAGTGAAGGCTCTAACAGTTACAAAAAGGAGGAATAGGACTACCTGTGATTGCCCATAATTTAGTTGACCTTTTTAATTAACCACAAGCCATAAAGAAGTTGAAACTTAAAAATAAAGCCCAGATCTTTAGTATCCATGGTGAGAATCAATGAAAACCAAATGAAGCAATTTGGTGTTTTTTTTGTTTCCTTGTCTGCCTATTGGCATTATCCTCTAGCAGCTCTCTGAAACCAATCACCGTCTTTTGAAATTAGAACCGGGCACACAAACGCCTGTCCGTGGGTTGGAAAACAGCATTAATGATTAGCCATTTTGTTAAATGTTCTGGCTTAATTTAGCCAGTGGACCATCTGCTCACTGTGTCCATCCTGAATGACTATGTTTCTTCTCCAGAGATACTGGGGGGAAAAAATAGTCTTTCCCAGCCAACTCTTTGAGATGATTTTAACCAGAAGGAGGTTTCAGTCTCGGGGTCATTTGCACTCAACAAAACATGTACTTAGTTTTTGCGATGCTTCTTTCCCTAAAATGGGGAAAGCTCCAGGGTAATTAACAAGCAAATCAAGAAGTACACCTGCACATCTGCTTTAGAGATTTTTCAGGCACAGCTGCTTAAGTCATGCAATTTAGAGAAGGATATTTGCAGGACCCGCTTCTCTATTTCGGGTGCAAGAGATTCATTCAGACTTTTAATTCCCCCCCCCCACCTATTTCCTTCTAGATTTTGAGAGGAAAAGCTGGAGACTTTCTACTTCTTGCTCCTCAGAGATTTTTCAGTACTACGTTCAAGGTGAGAAAATTTCACACCGTCACATCACATCCCAATGACGGGAATCTGTTCCATGTTGGGGAGAGGTGGGTAGAATATAAACCCACATGTTCGGGGTAACTTTCAATTTTTAATTTGACATTGAGGGGGGCGGGGAAAGCCGAGTCAATGACCCTGCATTTCTTCCAGGCCTCAGATCTCCAGATTGAATTGAACAAACATCTAAAGCCTAAACCGGATTCTAGCAAACTGGTCTTTGGGAAAAATTTCACGGACCATATGCTCACTGTGGAGTGGAGCAAAGAAAATGGCTGGGGAAAACCACACATCAAACCTTTCCAGAATCTCTCTCTGCACCCAGCCTCTTCAGTCCTGCATTACTCAGTGGAGGTAATGGTTTCCCATCTAAAGAGTTACAGATATATACCCTCCATTTTTCTTCTGCTTTGCTGGAAAGGGTTCTTATGTCAGGACTTGATGTCTGATAAGACAACAGGGAGATGATGAAGAGTGGATGGAGCCAACGAAGGATTGGGAATATGACAGATTAGAGATGGTCCTCATATATAGGCTATGGGTTATCAACCATAGTTAGTTTTGATCATACATGCACTATACCAGGCCTGTCAAACTGGCGGCCCTTGGGTTGGATACAGCCTGCATAGGCCACACACAGGCCTACACAGGCCACGCCCACACCGGCTCTGCAAAGGCAAAAAACATCCCAATACATCGCAATATGGCCTGATATGTCACGATACAGCCTGCAATACGATCAGGTTTTATACCCTTCACTATACCATAGACTTGGTATAGGAAATCAGGAATCCAGGTTGTTCAAATGAATATAGGTTTATTGTGTGCTACAAAAATCTGAACTACTAACTATCAAAGCAAATTAGCGGTAGATAAAAATCAACGGAATTCAAGGTGTTGCCTTAGATTTCTTGTGGACGTACCAAAGGGACAAAAGATGGATGAGATGTTTGATCCTTCTCTTGAGCACTATGATTTATAAACCACATAAGCTGGATTCACACAATTCAGCAAGCTTAGCTTGATGTGTTCAACCAATCACAGAGAGAAATATTGAAAGGAATCTTTTGAAAAAGGAGAGAATTAAGATGGATTAGATTGATTTTACATAATCTGGGTGCAAGAGAACCGCATCTCTTTGCATTCCTGACCATCTAGAATCTACCAAATTGGGGAAAAGGTAGATTACATTGTTGGGTTAAGCTGTTATTCTTCATGAGATAACTCAGAATAAAGATTCAAGTCCCAGAAATCTTTGTTGATTAATGGATCTAATGGGTCGCACTGTTATTAGAATTCAGAAAGAAGGTATCTATCTTCTTCACATATTAATTTTGGATTACACAAGTGTTTAACAGGGAGATTCTCACTGCACTCCATAAATCAATAGGAGTAAAATCTTGGAGATGGAGCTTCATGACTTCATGGACATATCCGTCTAGTTTTCTGATCTGGTGTCTGTTCTCAGCATCTACAAAGATTGAAAACTGAGGTCTAGGCTAGAGTGGGCTTGCCTAATTTTTGATTCAGTGTTTTGGGGGAAAATAATTTTTGGATAATCTGAACGTTAAACCAAGTATTTAACATTGGGGATGAAGGGAAACCTGACAGAAGACAATGGGCAAATGACTACGTTGGAGCTGGGAATTGGTTTTTCTTTTCCTGGGAGATCAATGAGGCACAGCGGAACAGTGTTTTCTGTTTGCATAGTCAAAGAGAGATCTGGGATGTCAATGGAAATTCTCAATCATCCAGATCATGGTTGTCCCTAAAGGTCTATGATCTGCCAAAATAGCTTGTAGGGGAAATGTTAATTGCCCATCTTTTCATCAAGCCATAATAATAAGGTCATATGAATAAAGCCATTGTGTTTCATTAACCTAAAGTTTAAGCCCAGCTCATGTATCAGTAGATGATCTCTACCACATAATTCACTTTACTTTTTTTTTTTTAATCTCCCCCTTCCTCCTGTCCTTATCTAGCTTTTTGAAGGAATGAAAGCTTTCCGGGGCTCAGATCAGCGCATCCGTCTTTTTCGTCCCATGCTCAACATGAATCGCATGTTACAATCCTCTCTTCGAGCTTGCTTGCCTGTGAGTATGTGGAGCACCCTCTTGTTCTCTCTCTTGCCCTAAATCCAGGATCAGCTACCTTTTAAGTTATGATCTTTCTCCCGAGGCCATCTATGGAACCCTGAAACTGAAAGATTTCAACCTGAGTTCAATTAAAAGAAAGTAGCCAGGGACAGAAAATATTTAAACACCTTCCCAATCTATTGGAAAGTGAAGCCTCCTCCTGCAACCTTGGGGGAGGGAATTGAAATAGACCCCAATTTAGTGTGCTCCTGTTATTTGGCTTCCTGACATCATAGTTTCCACCCAGATAGTTGGTATATGAATATGGAGAAGTGGCATGTGCATGAGACGTATTTTAATCAAGGTGACTCCATCATTTGCTTAGTAGGATGCAACTTCCAATGCTTTTAACATCTCTTAATATGCAATAATGGTGAATATCTGTAGCTCGGGTGTAAGGGTGAGGGTGAAGGTTCATTCTCTGAATGTCGTGGCCTGCCAGTGGATCTTGCAGCAGATTCGGACAGTTGGGAGGAACATGGGCCAGTCCTGGAGTCTGCGTCAGAGGCACAGATAGGGCCAGGGCATCAGCCACCTTTGAAGTCGGACATCAGTGAGGCAGAAGAACAGCTGGAGCCTGTTCCCAGTGTGCGCATGCGCAGAGCTGCTAGGAGAAGGGAACAGCTAAGGAACAAGGGTCGACTCAGGAGTAAAGCCAGAGGTGGACAGTGAATGGCCCCTCCCTAGGGAATAAAGAGGAGCGAAAGGGGAGGGGAGTTTGCAGGAGACCATTAGTTCAATTCAATAGGGTGAAGATTTGTTCCTGACTTCTTGCAAAGTATTGTCTGCTACAGAGTGGCGTTTGGAAGATATCGGCCTGGCAGCTCTCCAAGCCTGATAAAGGTCTGTAGTTATGAAATCTCCTGAAAGACTTTGCTGGAGAGGAATTCACTTTAAACTAAATAAAAGGGGTTTTATCAGGATGAGGAGTCGGCTTCGTGCGTTTGGGAAGCCTAAGGCAGAACACCGAGCTTGTGGGTTGGTTTCTAAACGTTTTGTTACCAGGCCAGGTAACATCTTCAGCAGATCCCCTACACTCTGCTGAAGATGTTATCTAGCCTGGGAATGAAACGTTCGGAAAACAACCCACAAGCTGCGAGAACAAAGCTTCAATATTTTCTGTGAATGGAGGAATACTATCACAACAGGAATGCATGTTCATTTGCTCATGTGTGTGCGCCGGCGCACCAGAAACATGAAGTCCAGCTGGCCAGAGTGCAGGTGCGTGCCGGCCATCTAGTTTTTGGGTTTTCAGCATGCACATATGCGGCAGCCAGCTGGTCTTCACGTGCACCAGAGCACAAGAAACTCAAAGATCAGCTGCTTGTTTTTTCGACCGGTTTTGAGCCCTTTTCAGACTCTTTTTTGGCCATTTTCAGGCTGTTTTTGGCCTGTTTTGGGGGTGTTTTTTGCTGTTTTCAGGGCAGTTTTCAGGCCATTAACAAGGCAAAAACAGTTGATTTGTTTTTGGGCTGTTTTTCTGGGCTGTTTTTCAACGCCCACAAAGACCAGCTGGTTGGAAACCAGAAGAGCAGCTTACGATGGCGCGCGTGCCCAGAGAGGGCCCTGCGTGCCACCTCTGCCATGCGTGCCATAGGTTTGCCATCACGGCCCTATCAGGTGATGAGAATATGAAGTGGAAGGAAAAATAGTTTGTGGTAGCATCTTATAGGAGGGAGTGAAAAATATTGTCTAGGAATTACCCTGTAAGTACCGTAAGGACAGTAACGTGTTTCCTTCGGAATCAGATGCTTCTGAACGGAAGCTGTGGGGGAGCTATGAGCAGAAGGCAGGGATGGCTACCAAGCTTTGCTTCCAGGTTTCCCAGATGTGTCTCCCTGTTTCCATGGGGGAAGGGATGCTAGAGACTAGATGGGGTTTTGTTCTATCTAGCTGGCTCTTTCAAGGTGCCCAGCACAGGGTATTTTATTCTCCGTGCAAGGAAAAACAGCAGGAGCATCATGTTCTCGTCTTCTTGCAGGCTTTTGATCAATCTGAATTGCTTGAATGCATCCAGCAGCTGATCCGGGTGGACCAAGATTGGGTCCCACACTCCAGCACAGCCAGTCTCTACATCCGCCCCATCTTGATTGGCACCGAGGTGGGTACGAGTGCTTCCAATTTCAGACGTTTTAGGCAGCACGGGGTTTCCATAATCTAACCCTAAAAGTTACTTAAACGCGCTATGTTCATCCTGATTTCCAAAATCTGACCCCTTTTCATCAAAACAAGGTGATGGATAGATTCAGAAATAATGTCATCACATTTTCATTTACGTTTCCTATTTCTCCCTTTCGTTCTTGTTTAACTCATTAATATCAGTACCAAACAAACCATTTTAATGGATTTTAACCATGTACTCCATTCGCCTATCAACTAGGCTGGGTGTGCACGTTGTAAACCATAAAAGCTAGCTATACTTAAGACTAACCAAGATTAGCATGTGTAAATACAGGCTCTATGTTTTTACAGATAGTTCCTGATGTACGGCCAGCCACTTTGTAACCTTTTGAAATTATGACAGACCTATCAGAGGGCTACTTATGACCGAGTTTCAAAGTTTTGATGGTTGCCACCCACCCACACCCTAGTCATAAACCTGACCAAACTTTGCCCATTTAGCAAATGGGCTGCCATTCAGATCCATCTGCAGCATCCGACAGTCACATTGAATTAAATTGAATTTATTATATTTCTATGCTGCCCTTTTCCCCGAAGGGGACTCAGGGCGGCTCACAACCCAAGTCAAGGGGGGGGGGGTACAAATAAGGAATAAAAAGACGAACAAAACAATACCATAATTTAAAAGCACACAACAACCATACCATTTGAGGTGGGACAAAAGCTCATTAGCCCCAGGCCTGTCGGAACAGCCAGGTTTTAAGGGCTTTGCGGAAGGCCTGGAGGGTGGTGAGGGTTCGAATCTCCACGGGGAGCTCGTTCCAAAGGGCCGGAGCAGCCACAGAGAAGGCCCTCCTCCGGGTGGTTGCCAGTCGGCATTGGCCAGCGGATGGAATTCGGAGGAGGCCTAATCTGTGGGATCTAATAGGTCTATTGGAGGTGATTGGCAGCAGGCAGCAGGCGGTCTCTCAAGTACAGTCACATCACCATGTTTTATGATGATTTTGCCCCAAACTAGCATTTACTTCTAGTTTTCAGCAAAACTGCACCCATAGCAAACCATTGGTTCACCTAATGACTGTGGCATTCACTTAATGACTGTGATGGCTGCTTTATGATTGCAGTGGCCTCTTAATGATGGCTGAAAAAAAAAATAGGTGTAAAATTGTCACATGATCAACCCATTTTATGACCATTATGACTTACGGCCATGTTGGATGAGCTCTATCTCAGTAGTAAATCAGACCAGTTAGGTGTACAGTGGGGAGAAAAGAAACAGTGTTAAAAAAAAATTGATGGACCTTTCAATCCATCTCACTTTTTGGAGATGCTGAAGTCAGCTTCATGCAGTATTCTTGGCCAGAGCATGGAAATAGTTTGCCAGTACAATTTTCCACATCGTTTTGGAACTTCTCTCTCTGGCCTGTGGATAAACGGGTGGTCTGACTCTCCATCACTGAGTAGGCCTGGCTTTGCTTAGCTTCTCAGCTGACAAAATTGGCTAGTTGCTGCTTTGATAAATTGCTGTCAATGGAGATTCCCAGCCATCCGTGTAGAATTGTCTGGAAGCTGTGTCATGGACTTATTTTCTTATAGGGTTGAAACGTTTCGCTGCTTATCCAGGTAGCTTTTTCACCCTGAGCAAGTCAACTAGGAGCAGGGGATGGGATTCAGTTGGTTCGGATCGGTTCTGACGAACTGGATGCTAATTTTGCATCTGGTTTGCCAAACCGGTAGAACTGGCCCCACAAACGCCTCCCCTCCCAGGAGTCTCCATGTGGCCTCTTCATCATGCCAGGTAAGTGCAGAGCCCGCACAGAGGCTCTGGGAGGGTGAAAAATGGGCCTTCCGGAAATCCGGAAAGGGTCCATTTCCGGCCTTCAGAGGGCCTCTGGAGCCCGTGGGAGGCCATTTTTGCCCCCCCCCCCGAGCCTCAAGGAAAGCCTCTGGAGCCTGGGGAGGGAGAAAACAGCAGAACCCTTGCTGCTGTGGTGCAGGAGGCCAAGTAGCCCCCGCCCCAGCAACCAGGCAGAGAACCAGTTGCTAATATTTTTCAATCCCACCGCTGATTAGGAGGGCCATTTCAAACCAAGAAGAAAAGAAGTCCAGCTACTTTATAAATCTGCCGATTCTAATCACGTTTGCTGACCAGCCTCTTATGTGGCACTCTCCCCTTCTGCCCTCTGCAGCCTTCCTTGGGGGTCTCCATTTCCAATCACGCGCTGCTCTTTGTGATCTTGGGCCCCGTGGGTCCTTATTTTACCACCGGAAGCTTCAATCCCGTTTCCCTCTTAGCTGATCCCCAATTTGTCCGTGCCTGGATGGGTGGCGTTGGTAATTGCAAAGTAGGCGGGTAAGTCTAGGGCTTCTGTTTTAACCTAAGTGGGTGGATGAAACTTGGCAGTTTTAAGTCAGACTTTTTCCAAGTGGGTGAACTTCACCTCCTAACATTCTTGGCAATGCCTGGGGAATTCTGGGTCTTGAAGTCCACAGTTCTGGAAGGCGTATAGGTAGAGGCAAGGCTACTTCAGCCCAATTTGTTTTGTGGAGATGGGACATTTTCCTTGAGACAAGAATTTGACTTCTTTTGTTTTTAAATTTCATTTAAGCCCTTGAGGATTGCAGGAATTTGTGATAAGGTGACACTGGAGAGGTTGGGGGGTGGGTGTCAAAATGGGGTAGGTTCCTCCCCATAATACAGTCTTTTCCCTAACCATAGTAGAAGCATAACGTTTATATTTTAACTTATTTTATTTGTTTTATTTTTCAAAAGGAGAAAATTTTCATTCCTGAAAATTGCCAATTTGCCAACATACTTCAATTTTATAGAGCAACAAAATAATTAGGGGACTGGAGGTTAATCAAGGAGAGAGGCAACTTAGAACTAAGGAGAAATTTCCTGAGAGTTAGAGCAATTAATCAGTGGAACAACTAGAAGTTGTGAATGCTGCAACACTGGAAGTTTTAAAGAAGAGATTAGACAACCCTTTGTCTAAAATGATATAGGGTTTCTTGCCTAAGTAGGGGGTTGGACTAGAAGACCTCCAAGATCCCTTCCAACTCAATTATTCTGTTATAGGGTCTTGGGTGTCACTGAAAAAAATGAGGATTGCCAGAGGCAGGCTATAGATATTCCACCCCTGTTTTAATACTTAAACAGTGGTCCATTTTTCAAAATACACAGGAATATAGCAACTACAACCAGGCCTTGGCTGGAGGAAAGCTTTTGGGGAGGCAAAGAGTTTGGGAATGCTCAACCAGATATTTAGAGGAGTCTTGTTGGCTGCCTCTTCCCAACATGGCAGAGGCCCTTGGTTTAACTGGAGATACAATACAATACAATACAATACAATACAATACAATACAATACAATACAATACAATACAATACAATACAATACAATACAATACAATACAATACAATACAATACAATACAATGATACAATACAATAAAATACAACACAACACAACACAACACCAGAATTGTTAAGAGACCTTGGAGGTCTTCTAGTCCAACCTGCTGCCTAGGCAGGGAACCCTATACTGTTCCAGACCGTGGCCCGACAAAACCGCGCTTGTCAAAATAGCGGCGACAAAATCAAGCCGCGAGGTCATCACTGCGACGTCATCACCGCGGCGACAACAGTGCGGCAACAGCGCGGTGACAGAAGGGTGCTTTAAATAGCGTGGCGGCAGAAAGCTGATTTAAATTAAGGTAAGGGTTAGGATTTAGGTTTAGGGTTAGGTTTAGGGTTAGGTTTAGGGTTAGGTTTAGGTTTAGGGTTAGGTTTAGGGTTAGGTTTAGGGTTAGGTTTAGGGTTAGGTTTAGGGTGTTGAGTGCTTCGGAAGGCGCGGATTTGCCCTCTGCGGTTATGTCGTCGCGCTAGGGTCGCCTTTTTCCTTAGCGCTTCGGACGGCGTGGATTTGCCCTCCACGCTTATGTCGGCGTGGATAAGGGCTTCGCGGTTTTGTCTGTGAACTGTTCCAGACAAATGACTATCCAACATCATCTTAAAGACTTCCTGTGTTTGGGCATTCACAACTTCTGGAGGCAAGTTGTCCCATTGATTACGTTTGAGCCGCCATCGCTTGTGCCTTCCCTTTTAGTCTTTCAGGCTGGTTTCGCATCCATTTTGGTCGCTGGATAAATGCCTTTGTATCCGATCAGAGTCTTGTCCTGCTCTTATTTCATCCCTTAGCAACTACGGCCCCACCATCTACGTGCAAGGAGAGGCTGCCAAATTGGGTTGCCAGCAGGTTTTGTGGCTATACGGCGAAGACCACCAACTCACTGAAGTTGGGACCATGAATATTTTCTTGTTTTGGAAGGACCAAGAGGGAGGTAAGGAATTTTATCTCTGGGCAGTAGCGGATCCATTGTTTTGGGCTTTGATGGGAACATGGTCCTGTGGTAAGGCTGATTCAGGGTATTGATTAAACATTAATTCCTGATTCCTAAAATAAATTACCATTAGGGAAATTCCTTCACTCCCCCCCCCACCCCAAAAAACCTTGTCTTGGTTTTTCATCAAAAATTGTTCTATTTTTTCTTCTCATATCCTGGATACATTTATTGGGGGTTGTGCATAGGCACCTCTTCCTAACTTCCAGTTAGTCCTCAACTTACAACCACAATTGAGCCTGGAATTATAATTGTAATTTGTTATGGTCATTAAGTGGGTCGCCATGGGACTGGACTCAACTTTACAATATGTTTAATGGCAGTTCATTAACTGAATGCTGTGATCATGAAGTGAATTCATTATATCCAATGGATGTTTATTTCCGGGAACCAGAAGTAAATGCTGGAAACAGGCAAAAAAAGGTGGAAAATTGTGGTTGTGTGACTGCAGGACCTTGTATATTGTCTATAAAGGTGAGCCAATTGCCCAATGCCCAAAATGTGATCATGTGACTGGAGAGGTGGTATTGTAGCCATTGTCATCTTGAGATTGGGCTTTGTATTTTTTGGGAGTGGCCCATCCTAACTTTGAACAACAGTCTGATAGTGATTTAGTCATAAGCCCAGGATTCCCTATGCAATGATGAAATGGTTGTCACCAAAATGTAGACACACACACATCGCCCCTCCGTCCTTTCATATTTGCATCGTGCTACTGCATGCAAGTGTAAAATTTGTGTCATGATATGTATTTTTCGTTTGCCACTTTCCTGCAGACACCCATCATTGCAGGGAGGTGGAGAAGGATGAGAAGGCAATATTGATGAATCTTTAGCATCCAAGCCATGCATTCTCTGGATTTATGGGTTTTAAAACTTATTAAATCAATACTGTACTCAATGCAAGTACTTAATCAAAATGACAAGTCGCTTTATTTTCTTGTGCCATAGAGAAAAGGTGTCACTTTTTAACATGAAGTAGTGTACCAGAGGCATCAGGAAAAATGTGTTTGAGTTTTTCCTTTAGTCCTTTAGGTGGTCCTTGACTTATAGCCATTTGAAATTACAAAGGTACTGAAAAAGTGTCTTGCAACAGGAGCCCACCAACCCTTGCAGGCCACGTGATCAGAATTCAGGTGCAATTGGCCACCGGCCTGTACTTACGACGGTTGCAGTGTCCTGGGGTCATGTGATCACCATTTGTGATCTTCCCTGTCAGCTTTCAACAAGCAAAGCCAATGGGAGAAGCTGGGTTTACTTAATGACCACATGATTCACTTAATGATGTGGTAATTTGCTTATTTTGCTTAACAGCCATGGCCAAAAAGATCGTAAAATTGGGCGTCTCACTTAATAACTGTCTTGCTTAGCAATGGAAATTCTGGACCCAATTGTGATTGTAAATTTATGCAGATTAAAATGAATTAATCAAGAAAAATGGCCACATTAGTTAGTTAAGATTCCTTAATCTTTGGTGCTTGCTTGCTTGCTCACTCTGTTTGTCTGTCTGTCTACCATATTTTTCGGACTATAAGACACACTGTTGTATAAGATGCAGCATGATTTCAAAGAGGTAAATAAGAAAAAAAGTTTTTGCCTTCCCCTAGCCCCCAGAAACACTCTGCAGGCTTCAGCAGGGCTGAGATTTTTGCCGTTTTTCACTAAAACAGGGGCATTTTCCCCTTCCCCAGTCCTGCTGAAGCCTGCAAAGTGCTTCTGGGGGTGGGGGAAGGCAAAGCACCCCGGTTTTTGCCCATTTTTCACAAAAATGGGATCCGGGGTTTGGGAGGCCAAAAATGGCTGTATTCAGTGTATAAGATGCACCATTGTCTTTTAGGGGGAAAAGGCGCCTCTTATACTCCAAAAAATACCTACCTACCTACCTACCTACCTACCTACCTACCTACCTACCTACCTACCTACCTACCTACCTATATCCATTCATCATCTCTCTCCATCCATCCATCACTATCCATGTTCTGAAATTTTAAATTATTTAAAAAGAAAATGAAAACTTAATGTAAGTGTTGCTGTATTACACGTTCCCAAAAATTAAATCTCTTGAAAGTCCGGCAGAATGTATATTAAATATTATCCCATTATCATTTACGAAAATAATACATGTATATTTTTTGTTGCTCTTCTCTGCTTAAACATAGTTAGTAGTTGTATCCAGAGGTAGTTATGTGCAGAATTGATAATTGAAACTAGTGGAACATATAGACAGCATTCTTGTGCCATTCAGATATGTATAGGACTAAGTTCTCATGCAATTCGGGTTTCTAAAGCTGATTTTCCCTTTTAATTATAATTGCATTTCTTCCCCTCAGTTAATTCCACCTTTTGGGGTTTCAGAAATATTTTAGTGCTATAACATGTAGCCATCCCTGGAAATGTGTAACTATAATGTCAACTTTTCAGATATGGAGCTGGTCACCCCTCCACTTAATGGAATCATTTTACCTGGTGTGACACGACAAAGCCTTCTGGATTTGGCCCGCAAATGGGTGAGCATGCAGAAGTGTGAGGTATCCCTGCCACTGATGGGGACAGGGGTGGGCTTCAAAAATTGCAGCGAGCCTCTGCGCGGACCCTGCACTTACCTGGCATGATGAGCGGGCCATGTGGAAACTCTGGAGAGGGGCAGGAGGGCCCAGTCAGGTGACATTTGGGGGTTAACTGAACTGGGCAGAATCCTAGCTCGAGGATCGCCCGAACCCATGTGAACCCCCAGCAGCCCACCTCTGGACGGGGAGGGTTTTTATTTTGTAAAATTTCTTTTTTAGTATTCATTGTTGCACTCAAGAATGAATTGAGAGAGCAGCAGAGAGAACAATTTGCTGGATAAAAATGAGGCTATTGTTGATGTCAAATCCTGAGTTAAGGAGAGAGTCACATTCTACATTTCGGTGGAGTGACTTAGGACCATAAAAACGAGCAATACTGTAAAGGGAGTAAGGTTGGGATTTTTTCCAAGGTGGCCAAAGGATGGGATGTGAAGATGTTGGGGGTGTGGGTGGGGGGCGAGGTGGGGAAGGTCAAACAAGTCAAAACAGTGGTTGCGACTTTACAACTGAAGCACCCTTCACTTTTAACATACAAAAAAAAAAAAAGATTGATTGCAAAGTTGCAGAAACTTCCTCACTCTGTCAGTGCTAGTGAAATCCTAATCCTAACCTAAAAACCCTAATCGCGCTTTTGTGGACGCGGTTTTGTTGGTGCGCATTTGTCGGGTCACAGTGGAATGGGTTTTTTTTTTTCCTGATCTTTTTGTGCTATTGAATAACAATAACTATTACGTCGATCATTGGTCTTACAGGACAATTTTCAAATGTTTTTGACACGGTAGGAAGCTTTACTACAAATGTTTAACCTTCTTGCCACCCTAATTCGCAGTAGTGGGATGAGGAGACTCCAGGGGCCTAGGGTTCCTTGATTGGCAGCAATCCCCAAGATTCTATCCCCAAGATTCTATCTTTAAAGATAGAACGGTTTCTTGACTGTGAGATGTTTTGCACTGCAAATGCCTGTGCACTGCAACCAAGAACGGGTTCTGAAATAGATGGATTGGACTCAAAATTCAGTTACAAGATTGAATCTGGGCCAGTCACCGGGACCAGAGGTTTACTCTTCCAAGATTTCAGACTCATACTGGAGCCCATCCTGAGGGAACTTCTCTTTACTGGAATATGTGGGCTGTTATGTGGTGTCTTACGTGGTTGATTTGTGTCTTGATGGCTGGCAATTGGCTGTTGTTTCCTTCCGAAAGCTGATCGCGGTGACTGACCCAGATTCAATCTTGCAACATTATTCCTGGGACACATATTTGCCTTCATTCAAACTTCGACCTTTCTACATTTTATAAAATGGCTGACAGCAGGATTTAAACGTGCTTGTCTCTCTTTCTACCCAGGGGAAATTCAAGGTTTCTGAGAGAACAATCACCATGTCTGACGTGATCAAAGGCTTGGAGGAGAAAAGAGTGAAGGAGATATTTGGCTCAGGCACAGCTTGTGTGGTATGTCCCGTGGACAGAATTCTCTATCAGGGCAAGGTGAGACTCATGGGACATTCCCAACTTTCTGGTTTCCCTACATCTGTTTTGTTCTTCTCGATACAAACTGGGTTTCTGTCTCTCTCTTGGCACAGAATTATCATATCCCCACAATGGAAAATGGACCTGAGATTGCAAAGCGGTTTCTGAAGGAGTTGACAGATATTCAGGTAAAATTCTTAGCGGGAGACGGAAAACAGATCTGACAGGTTGTGTTTGCTTGGTTTTTCACATTTTCAGTTTTAAATTGATTCTGTCCTTTTTCTGCATCGATTTGCATTTGAAAAAGTACCTAATTCAGCGTTTTGTTGCATTTCAGCCTTGGCAAGGCAAAAAGGCCCTACTTTTCCTCATATCCTCTGTCAAAAACAAAACATTTCCATGCTGATTCTTGGGATGCTAGATGGGGTTTTCCAGGGACATCACACTATCTCTGGCTTTGGTCCTTGTGGCCTCTTAGGGCAGAAAAAGAAAGTACCTGTATTTTTCAGTCTATAATACGCACCAAGATTTTGAAGAGGAAAACAAGAAAAAAAAAAGTTTTTGCCCTCTCTGGCCCCCAGGAGCACTCTGCAGGCTTCCCAAACCCTGTGTGCATTCCATTTTTGTGAAAAACGGGCCTGTTTCTGGCCTCTCGAACCCCCTGCACATCCCGTTTTTACCCTCTCCAGCCCCCAGGACAGAGGTGGGTTTCAACCGGTTCGCGGCGGTCCCTGCGAACCGGTTGGTCGGCGAACCCGGAAGTAAGTAACTTCCGGGAACGGCGAAGGGCCCGCCCGCCCGCGCTCCTTACCCGGTTTTGACGAGTTCTGCGCTTCCACGCATGCGCAGGACGCGTACAGCGTCTGCGCGATCCTCCAGGAGCAGCTGGAGCATCACACAGACACTAGTACGCATGCGTGCGCCGCGCGCGTGCACGAGGACGCCGCCGGCCCCGTTCCAACCAAACCGGTTGGAACGGGGCGAGAAACCCACCCCTGCCCCAGGAGCACTCTGCAGGCCACCCAAACTCTCTGTGCATCCCATTTTTGTGAAAAATGGGCCTGTTTTTTGCAAAAATGAGACCCATGGAGCAGGGTTATGGGAGGCCAAAAAATTGCTGTATTCGGTGTATAAGATGCACCGACATTTCCACCCTCTTTTTTTGGGGTGGGAGGGGAGTGCATCTTGTACTCCAAAAAGTACGGTATAAAGAAATGGCGCCATCTTGTTGCAATTGAGGGGTTCAGAAAATAAGCAGAATCGGGATTAGCAGGCATAGATATGAAAGAATACCAGCAATATCCTGCCCTGGATATTAGATTCTTTGAGTGAACCATCTGTGCAATAAAAATTGTTCTGCACTTGCGTAGAAGCCAAAAACAAGGTGGGAGAATCGATTCGGGGACATGGCAGGGCTGGGTTGCTGCTAGTTCCAGCTACCCAGGCCGCCAAACCACTACCGGTTCGGCTGAACTGGTCAGAACTGGTAGGAACCCACCATTGATCTGTGTGTATTGTAACTTGACAACTGATTGGGACAATCCTGAGGATACTGATGTACCTTACACCAGTGGTCTCCAACCTTGGCAACTTTAAGACTTGTGGACTTCAACTCCCAGAGTTGAAGTCCACAAGTCTTAAAGTTGCCAAGGTTGGGGACCAGTGCTTTACACAATTGAAGTAATCTGTTCCAAGCAGTGTGGTGTTGTTAATAAAGTATTTGACAAGGAGTGGAGAAACCCAGGTTTCAGTTCACTCTCCGCCACAAAGATCACAGCGAGACTTTGAGTCAGTCAATCCCTCTCATCCCAGATATCCTCACAGAGTGGTTGTTAGAGTGGGAAAAATGGATCTTATCTATACTAAGACATAAGTAGATACCAAATCAAAACAATAAAATAGGGTCCCCAGGCTAAGTTAGGTTACCCATCCCAATATACAGATTCACAAACAAGAAACTCTGCAAGTTCACATTAAAATTACTAAGTTACTTTGATATACAGTCCTAGATAAGTTTTCATTTTTAGGCCCCCTACTTCAAAATGAAAGCAAGAATTGTGCTTATCCCATCTTTCCTCAATTGGGCCACAAGAGGGCAGAATGGCTTTGTGATGGAATATCTTGTCGTTTTTGTATCGGTGTTGACACCCAAGAAAGACTGGCAGGACAGGTCCCTGCAGCTTTCTGGGCAAGATTTCAGAAGTAGCTTGCCATCACCTCTTTTGCAGGGGTGAGAGAGATTGACTGGCCCAAGATCACCTAGCTTGCTTCATGCCTAAGGTGGCACTAGAACTCACCATCTCATGGATTTTAGCCTGATGCCTTAACCCTTACACCAAACTAATAACCTGCCATAATGAAGGTTGGTTGCCAAGCATCTGGAACATGTGTCATGAGGGGAATACTGACCATTGAAACTTTGGAACTAGGTCATAAAGTACAATTACTAAGTAACCCTGTCCTAAGTTGAGGACTACCTGTATGGGATAGTAGTTCTTAATTTTCTCCCTCCTGCATTTCTAGGAATTCGTTCAAGACACACTTGAAGTAAATTAGCACCCCTAAAATTAGTTAAATCTTAGGAGTAGGCGAAACACACCCCTTTAAAAATAAGAAATAAGAAGTGGGGTGAAGATCAATTATGCCAACAACAGTAGCTGAAGTTCTTGGGGGAAGAAAATCTGGTCTGCATTGAAAAAAGTGACAATATATCCACATCATTGCTTGTAGTGTGTGTGAGTGTGTGTGTGTGTCTGTGTGAGTGTGTGTGTGTGTGTCTGTGTGTGTGTGTGTGTGTGTGTGTGTTGGGGAAGGAAATTTGGATTAACTCTGCTTCTGCTTAATATTTTGAGAGGTTACAATCACAAACTCTGACTGTATTTTTTTGGTCCTTCGCAGTACGGACGCACCCCAAGTGACTGGGCCCAGGTGGTTTGCTGAAGACTGTGGGATTTGACTTTTCCCTGCTCTCGTTCAGCTTCACTCTCTTCACCACAGCTGTATTTATGACATGGTTCTAAAGCTTTTCCAGTTTTGCCTTCCATTTGACTGACTCACTGCCTGGTTTGGGGAAACTACAGTTCGTTCCCCTGATATAAACCCAGGCCCTTTATGGCTGCGAAACACTCCACATCAGGAAGGCCTGCCCTGATCCAGGACCAGGAAGAATACCAGATCAACCTCTTTGCTGCGATGGAAACGATGCTTTGAACTCCAAGCGGCTTGCTCTGCTTCTCTCTCCACTCCAAAAACTCGGCTGCTTTTTTGCTTTTAAGTGCAATATTGAGAGGAGTAGGAGAAAACGAAGGAATGTGGAGTGTACGCAAAGCTCTAATACTTCATGTGCATGATTGCCAATTTTTTTTTTTTTAAGAATAGTCGCTTGAATTCATGTAGGAGCACATGTAAAAAAAAAGTGTAATCTAAACCATATTGCTCTTATAAAAGTTTTTTTTTTTTCATTTTGGTATCCTTGTGAATGGGGCCAAAATTTTTAAATTTTGGCTCCTGTATCTTAAACTGAACATTTCCAGAAACGTGAAATTCTTGTTTCGTGTGGATGACTATTCACTTTTTAAAGTTAAATCTGCTGGATAGATAAAAGAAGCCTTAAATCTTCAGAATTAACATGGAGCTACAATTTGCAGCCGTGGTTGGCTTTTTAAGGTGGAAAATGATTCAAAAGAGATGTGACAGCGAGAAGGATGGCATATAAATTTAATAAATAAACAAGATTATAAACTGCATCTTGGAGAAGGCTCCTGCCATCCATTTCTGACTTTCTTGTTCTGTGGTGTAAACAGTGTCTATTCGAGTGTTACTCAACCTTGGCAATTTTAAGAAGTGTGGACTTTCAGCTTTCAGAGTTTCCCAGCTAGGTGACTATGGAACTCTGGGAGCTGAAGTTGACAAATCTTAAAGTTGCTAAAGTTTAAAAACAGTAGTCTATAAGCAATGTAGTTTGGGAGAGTTTGTTTGTTTATCAAATTTATATAGCCGCCCACCTCATGAGAAGAGATCGTGGGTGGTGTATAATCATTCTAAAATCATGTGATGATTTCCCAGAATTATTTCAGCCAGTGATTTCAACAAAGCTTTTCTGGACTAAAGATTCCTTGCAGAAAAGGAAAAAAAACTTATTTTTTTCTGCATTATCACTAGGGTTGCACAGACAAGTCCTTGACTTACGACTACAATTGAGCTCAAAAATTCTGTTGCTAAGTGAAACATTTGTTAAATGAGTTTCCCCCGTTTTATGACCTTCCTTTCCACAGTTGTTAAGTGAACCATTGCAGTTGTTAAGTTAGTAACACCATTGTTCCCCACTGACTTGGCTTATCGAAAAGTTGCAAAAGGGGATCACATGGCCCCAGGACACTGAAATATTCATAAATATGAATCACCATATTTTTCAGACTATAAGACGTATCATAGTATAAGATGCACCATGATTTTGAAGAGGTAATTTTTTTTAAAAAAAGGTTTTGCACTCTGCAGGCCTCCCAAACCCTCTGCACACCTCATTTTTTTGCAAACAAGAGAGGGGAGGCATGCAGAGCTTTGGGAAGTTCTTAGGGTGCTCCTGGGGCCTTGGGGGGGGCAAAAACTAGCAAAAACTGGGTTGTTTTGGGGGGGGAGGGGCATGCAGAGGGTTTGGGAGGCTTGTAGAGTGCTCCTCAGGGTTGTGCGGGGGGGGCGGGAGGCTCATTTTTTGCTCTCTTTTTTGTCTTCCTCAGCTCTTAAGCACTTTGCAAGCCTCCCAAACCCTTTGTTCGTCCATTTTTACAAAGGGAGCGGGGTTTCGGTAGGCCAAAAATGCTGTATTCAGTGTGTAAGATGTACTCAGATTTTCACTCTATTTTTTGAGGGCAAAAAAGGTGCGTCTTATATTCCAAAAAATACGTTAGTTGCCAAGTGCCTGAATTTTGATCACATGACCTTGGGAATGCAGCAATGGTCGTAATTGTGAAAAACGGCCCTAAGTTGTAACTTCAAATGGTCACTAAATAACCTGTTGTAAGTCGAGGACTACCTATAATACACATATCTCACAAAGCTGGGGATCACACTTGGTACCTACTAGGCTGTCTCCTCTGACTATTAGATCTTTTAATTAAAAAAGAAAGAAAGAAAACTGGTGAACTGCAAAGCACCCTCCAGGAAGAATTCTAGAAGTTCATTTTAGACATTATTAGAAAACGATGTTATTTAACTGGCTGTTGCTAAGGCTAGATACTGGTGTGGAAAGGTCTATATAAAAACAACACCACCACCACAAAGGGAAATTTGGAGTGGTAGGGGGCTAAAGGTGATGGTGGACAGCATTTTTCCTAGCCTGGTAGCCATTAAGGTGATCCAATTGTACTGGAATGGTTTCTATTGAAATTTGCCCACACTTCAGCTGCCCTCCACACCTCTATCTCCACTCACACCTCTATCCTTCTGGCTGTCCTGCCGCTGCTGCCAATCCCTGCCAATATCTGCTGCCCTCAGCTGGCTTGTGTTTCCTTCCTTCTGCTGCTAGTTAAGCCAAGACAGTTGCTGGCCCTTTGTGAGGTTGTGTGAATTGGAGGTGAACGCAACAGGACAAATTTAAGGTCGTCTAACAATGGCATGGTTCTCACCTAATGACTGCAATGGCAACTACTGGAGTTACTGAGTGGCTAAGTGGTAAAGTTGTGATGTTTCGCCTAACAACTGCTTCACTTGAGTACATTAGTCCAAATGTGCTGGCTAGGTCAATCTGTGATCTTGGTCAAGTAAACCCCAAAGAAAAGTACTAAAAAAAATTTGATTATTTAAAAAAAAAAAGAATTTCGTTGGGCTGAGCAATCCACTTCCCTCCAGCTTCTCTATCTGCACATTTTTTTTCTGAAGATTGTTCTTGACTAGTGAAGAGTTGATATTATAGCACGGGATTCATGAAATAATTCAGGTTGGAAAGAGACACGTGATTTAGGATTAAGAAGACCTTTGCACATTGGGTAACAAACGGATCTCTGAACATCGGGAAACAGAAGAAAAAAATGGAACCTGCCATTGGAGATTTCTGACTAAAATTACAATCTTCCCAACTTGTGGAGATGATGACACTCCTAAGAATGTAACTCCAGAAGGATTCTGGCATCTGCTAGGAAGAGATAAAGGATATTGCTATCCTTGCAAACCACATTGCCCATAATATATGGTGCATGCTCAGTGCATTTTGGAACTCTGTAAAACCTGGGGTGGAGTAGATAGAAGGATCTTAGCATTTTCAGCCAAAAAGTTGTGTAGATATTCCCAACTCACTTATCACACTGGAGTTTTGTTGTGTTTGTTTTTTTAAAAAAACAGAAAAAGATGAAAGGAATAATGGAAAAAAGTAAAGGAATGGAAGATAAGCTGATACCTGCCCTATTTCCCTGAAAATTAGACCTCCCCTGATAATAAGCCCAATTGGGCTTTTGAGCATATGCACAAGCCCTCTCCTGAAAATAAGCCCTCCCCCAAAATATTGCAAGAGCAGCAGCCATGATGTGACCACTCTCACCTCTTCCTGCACCTCAAAAATAAAAGACCTCCACGAAAATAAGGCCAAGTGCTTATTTCGGGGGTTAAAAGAAAATAAGACTCTGTTTTTGGGGAAACACAGTACACCAGATATAGACTGACATTCAAGAAATATCTCTTTAAATATTATTAGAAGCTCATTATTTGCTATCCTGAAATGTACAAGATAATAGATTTATTTGGGTTCAGCAATAATGTTTAAAGCTCGACCAATAGACCATGGTCCTCATGCATTAAAATTCATTTTTGGTTATGCCCCAAAATTCCTTCCTTCAGCTGAGTAATTTAAGCAGAAGAGAATATTTTTATCTACATTCATTAGAAATCAAGTATTTTTTCTGAATTGCATCCAACCATCCAGAGATCTGCCAATACCTTGCAATCTAACATCTGCCTGTTCTGGTTTAAACTTACTGTAAATTTCTCGAATGAGTTATTAAGAAGAATGCCATATCTGAAAGCAGTAATTTTTAAGTTCATGCACGTAGTGCATGCAACTTCTAACCACAGTTAGGACAAGAATTTCCATTGCTAAGCAAATTGGTATTTAAGTGAATTGCACCCAATTTTATAACCTTTTTTTTTGTGCTTGTTAAATGACTCATTGTAGTGGTTAGGTGAATTGTGCAGTTGTTAAGGAAATCACGTTTCCACAATTGACCTTATTGGAAGTCATCTAAGAAGGTTGCAAATGATAATTTCTGGTATAGAAAAACTTACAAAATCTGAAAATGATGAGGGTTTGAAACCAGCATTTCAGCTTGGATATATAGCTGATATATACATTATATATTTTAAACTCATCAATACAGTGATACCTTGATACTTATCATTAATTGGCTCCAGGAGGCACGATCAGTACTAAAATGATGAGTACCAAACACATTTTCCCCATAAAAAATAATACAATGAGTCACAAGGCAGCCGACACTGACAAGTGCTAGCTTATGTGTCGACTACCAGCAAACAATGAGTACTGGGACAAATCTTTTGGGTCAAAATGCATTGAGTTTCAAATTCGATGAATTTCAAAGCAGTGGAGTACCAAGGTACCACTATGTGTTTTCCAAGAAAATTTTATATCAACTTCCTTTTGAAGCCAAGGTGGCGCAGTGGTTAAATGCAGCACTGCAGGCTACTGCTAGATCAGCAGTTCAGCGGTTCAAATCTCACCGGCTCAGGGTTGACTCAGCCTTCCATCCTTCCGAGGTGGGTAAAATGAGGACCCAGATTGTTGGGGGCAATATGCTGACTCTCTGTAAACCGCTTAGAGAGGGCTGAAAGCCCTATGAAGCAGTATATAAGTCTACTGCTATTGCTATTGCTATTGAAGAAATTTAGATGGTGCTTCACTTTGGATTATTTCAAGAAGTTTGCATAACCATTTCCTGCTTACTGTAGAACTGAGATGAGTGAAAATTGGCTTGGCACAGTCGTTGAATGAATAGAGTATATAAGCATGGGGAAATGTAATCTTTTCAGGGCTGCTTAAGAGGGCAACTGAGGTCAAATCACTGCCAGGAGATGAAATGCTTGTGTCCATCGTGAAGTCATCAGAAGATGAGCTTGAATGGAAGTAGACTTTCCCTTTCACAATATGCAAATGACATGAAGGCTCTTAGTTAATTAACAAAGCCATAGGGATCCATTTTGATCTTGCCCACTGCCAATTATCACCTCCCAACCCCATCTAAGGCCAATTGCTGAGGAGCCACTAAAGAGGAATTAGTGACTCCAAAGACCCAGAGAGATAACTTCAACGTCACGTAACAGCACTGCTTTATACTGTACTGGTGAGGCCACACTTGGAATAATGCATCAGTTCTGGTTACCACAATAGAAAAAAAAAAAGATCCTGAAAACCCTAGAGAAGCTCTAGAAAAGAGCAAAAAAGATAAGAGACGTGGATGCTAAATCATGCAATGAATGATTGAGGGAATGGGGTCTAACAAAGAGAAAGGACTAGAGATGATATGATAGCAGTGTTCCAGTGCTTGAGGTACTCTCACAGAGAAGAGGGAAGTCAATCTATTCTCCAAAGCACCCAGTGACGTGCGGTCAGCTTTACCCCCGGTGAGGCTGTTTTTAGACTTGTGGACTTCAACTCCCAGAATTCCACAGCCAGGCATGCTAAGTTCCGATTTAAAGCGACAGCATTTTTCCCCCTTGCAAAATAAGTTTTTCCATTCTTTTT